GCCACCTGGAATTCCCAAAATTCCCATTTTTGGGGAGAATTCCCAGATTTTTGTGAGGATTCCCGAAGCACAGACACAGAGTTGGTGTTAAAGGGTCGATTTTATTCCCAAAAAAACATCGGATTCGGCATTTTTTACATTTCCGGAGGGGATAAAAAAAAGGGGGAAAGGATGAGGATGGAGCAGCTCCTGGAGATCACTCGAAACCGCTGGAAAAACGGGAAAAATGGGAAAAAAATGGGAAAAACGGGGGTTAGAGGGTGGGAAAATCAGCTGGGTGGGTGTCCCAGTTCATCCCAGTTTAACCCAGTTTATCCCAGTACCTGACCACGGGGGTGATGTCCCAGTCTATCCCAATCTATCCCAGTTTATTCCAGTCTGTCCCAGTTTGCCCCAGTTTATCCCAATTTATTCCTGACCACGTGGGCGATGTCCCAGTCCATCCCAGTCAATCCCAATTTATCAGTTTATCCCAGTCTGTCCCAGTTTATCCCAGTTTGTACCTGACCATGTGGGTGATGTCCCAGTCCATCCCAGTTTGTTCCTGACCACATGGACAATGTCCCAATCTGTCCCAGTTTATCCCAGTCCATCCCAGTCTGTCCCAGTCCCTCCCAGTCCATACCTGACCACGTGGGTGATGTCTCAGTCTGTCCCAGTCCCTCCCAGTTTGTCCCAGTCCATCCCAGTCCCATCCCAGTCCATCCCAGTCTCTCCCAGTCTCTCCCAGTCCATCCCAGTCCATCCCAGTCCATCCCAGTCTCTCCCAGTCTCTCCCAGTCCATCCCAGTCCATCCCAGTTCATACCTGACCACGTGGGCGATGTCCCAATTGGCCTCCAGGGTCAGGGGTCCCTCCACCTCCACCCCCTGCTCCGTCACCGTGGCGATCTCGTACTGCGGGAAAAACACCCCAAAATCACCCCAAAATCATGGGATTGGCCCCAAAATCACGGGATTGTCCCGAAATTCCATGGGATTGTCCCGAAATTCCATGGGATTGGCCCCAGATTCTGTGGGATTGTCCCCAAAATCACGGGATTGACCCCAAAATCATGGGATTGGCCCAGAATTTCATGGGATTGTCCCAAAATTCCATTGGATTGGCCCCAAATTCCATTGGATTGGCCCCAAAATCATGGGATTGTCCCTAAATTCCAATGGGATTGTCCCCAAATTCCAACGGGATTGTCCCCAAATTTCATGGGATTGTCCCAAAATTTCATGCAATTGTCCCCAAATTTTGTGGGATTGTCCTCAGATTTTGTGGGATTGACCCCAGTTAAGGAGTGGCCTTTAATGGGATTTTGGGGGGAATTTCCATGGGATTTTAGGACACAAACGCTGTTGAAGGATCCCGATAAAACAGAACCCTCAGGCAGCGCTTCAGCAGCTCCCGGGGTTTGGGGTGAATTTGGGATGGATTTGGGGTGGATTTGGGGTGGATCCCTTGCTCCCATGAACTGGGGATAAATTCCCAAGATTTTCGGGTGAATTCCCAAGATTTTGGGGTGATTTTGGGATACAAACCCTATTAAAAGACTGAGCATCCCTGTAGTACAGGACCTTCAGGCATCTCTCCAGCAGATCCTGGGATTGGGGTGGATTTGGGATGGTTCCCTGGCTCCCATGGATTTGGGGTGAATTCCCGGGATTTTGGGATGGATTTAGGATGAATTTGGGATGGATTTAGGATGGATTTGGGATACAAACCCTATTAAAAGATCGATCATCCCGATAGTACAGGACCTTCAGGCATCGCTCCAGCAGATCCCGGGATTAGGATGGATTTGGGGTGGATTTGGGGTGGATCCCCTGGCTCCCATGGATTTGGGGTGAATTCCCAGGATTTTGGGATGGATTTGGGGTGGATTTGGGGTGGATTTGGGGTGGATCCATGGCTCCCATGGATTTGGGGTGAATTCCCAGGATTTTGAGATGGATTTGGGATGGATTTAGGATGGATTTAAGATACAAACCCTATTAAAAGACCG